GGAATCGGGAGAAAAAAATCGGGGATCGGGAGTTTTTATTTTTTTTAAATACTTTTTTTTATTTTTTTTTATTCAATGTTACAAAACAAAAAGCCCCATGTTCAAGTCTTAAAGTCATCCTGAGGCCTTAGTTTTGGTTTCAAATTACAGAACATCATGTATGTGTTGCTTCTTTGGGGCTTGTTTTCATAGACCTGGTTGCTTATTTCTCTCAAATCTGGCAACAGAGTGGGCGCAGTGTCTAATTGTAGCAGTAATTTAACGAGTACTGAAAGCTTTATTTTGTTTTGATCCAATGCTGCACAACTGAACTGATCCAATGCTGCTGTGAAAGAAAGAAGCTATATCCATGTTGGATAGAATATCCAATTTAAATAAAAAAATAACCTTAAGGGACAACTTGAATGCTTTTTTTCTTTTTTTCCTCTTAATGCATTGCATAAAGATCGGGAAAAATCGGTATCGGCAAATTGTCAAAATCAAATGATCGGGAGCAAAAAAAGGTGATCGGGACATCCCTACTTTTAAATGAGTGTTTTTAAATGCTATTTCTTAATATGCTTCTTAATGTCTTTCATTTTTGTAAAGCACTTTGAATCGCCTTGTGTTGAAAGGTGCTATAAATAAACTTGCCTTGCTTAACAATTGGGAAAAATAACTAAAAATATGTTGACTGTGATTGCATATGATTCATGATATTTAAGGGTTTGATAATTTGTGCATTCATTGACATGTTGTAAACTGGGATTACTCTGCAGCTCCACGATGTTTTTTGATACATATACGCCTTCAAGAATGATGGTGCCGTCACAATGTACCTGCTGTCGATGTCGTAGGGTCTCTTGAGGGAGCGGCGGTCCTGCTCGTAGCGCAGCTGCTCCTGCTGTCGTCGCAGCTCGTCCCTCTCCCTCATGATGCGCTCCTGCTCGCGCCGCCTCTCGTACTCGATGCGAAGCCTCTCTCGCTCCAGGAACTGACGCTCCATGCGCTCTGCGTCCAGGCGCTGCTTCTCAACCTGAGGGTTAAACCGTTCAGTGAGTTTATCAACCTGAAACTCGAGAGAAAGTAAGGCTGGTGATGAGAAAAATGGATAGTTATGATAGGAGAACAGCAAATAAAGAAATCAGTAATCTGACAGTACCTCCAGATAGTCTCTCTTCCGGAGCAAGTGTTTCCTCTCCTCTTTCTCTCGGAACAGACGGATCCTTTCGCGCTCGCGGTCCGGACGGGTGTCACGGTCCCGATCGCTGAAAGGAGACGTGTAATATTATATAATACTTGCATGTTTTTGAAGTATATATCAGACGCATTTGTTATTTACATCATCTCTGACCCAAAGCATGTTCTGAACAGCGAATATGAACTGCTACCATCTAATGGGAGATTCAATAAAGTCAGACTGAAGCATCCTTTGTGCTCCAGCAGTGTTTCTGTCAGGGGGGCGTCTTGCTGTCATTTGATGCTCTTATTCAGCTCGGAACGCCCTGAACTCGAGCCGAGGGCGTCCAAAAAAAATAATAATTTGAGAGAAGATCGAGTTTCTATCGCTTGAAATGACGAAAAGGAAAAAGGACCAGAGGAGTCTGGTGGGATTATTTTCGCCGTGTGTTCCTGTGCCGGAAAAAAACAAAACACCGCCACATCTACCAAGGAACATGCCAGGAGGGGTGTCCCTGTCGGCAGGGAGACGTTAAGAGATAGTATAAGGGACGGCGCAATTCAAAATTCAAGTCACGCGACACAACGTGATGTCACCACCACCCCATGATGTTACACATGGAGCTACTGTGATGCAAGTCACATTTCAGACTTGATCTGACCTTAAAGTATTATCGTATATCCCAAGACTTGTTTTGCTCATTTTTCTTTTAAGAAACTGTCAAAATAAACTAGTGCAAATGTCTGGTGATTATGTAACCGGAGTTCTTCTCCATCTTTTTCCAGCTCTGTTCAACTTCAGTCTCCAGGTACCCTGGAGCGGCAGCTGGATAAACTACATTAGCTACATTAGCTACCTCCCCGTCCCTCAAAGAATCCGTCAAAGAATCCACTTCAAAGTCCTCCTGATTACTCACAAAGCCCTCAGCAACCAGGCCCCCCCCTACCTCACAGACCTGCTGCACCACCACACCCCTTCCCGCTGCCTCCGCTCATCAGAAGCCAACCTCCTATCCATCCCCACCCGCACCAATCACCGGACCTGGGGGGACAGAGCCTTCTCCGTCGCTGCCCCCTCCCTCTGGAAATCACTCCCACAACCCATCAGAGACTGCACCGACCTCACCACCTCAAAAACTCAAAAAACTCACCTCTCAATCTGGCTTTTCATGTGTGATTGTTTTTGTATTATTTGACTTTAACTTTAACTATTTATTTATTTTTATTGTTCCTTTCTTTTCTCTTCACTATATCTGTAAAGCATCTTTGAGCACCTGTAGAAGCGCTAACAAATTAAATCTATTATTATTATTATTATTATAGCAGTGAAAACTGTTTTGGACGCATTACTATTGTTGCATGGTATATACACCAAATCCTAATGATGTGACATTTGAATACGGTGAAAAATGATTATGTACAAACTGATACAAAAATAATTTCTCCATAACTCCACATTTTTAGAACGATCTTTAAAAGTTAATAATGTTAGATAGAGTTAAAGGACCCTTACGTTCTGCGTCTCTCCACCTCTCTGATCTCCCTCTCTCGCTGCCTCTGTCGCTCCCTCTCTCTCTGCTCCTTGATCTGGTCGAACGACAGGATTTCTTTCGTCTCCTTACTCGGCGACTTGCGGTCCCGACTCTTTGAGCTCTGCAGAAAAGACAAGTAGAAAGGAAACAAAGTTAGGGAAGAATTTTTTTAAGAAGTCAAAATCAAATCTGTCCAGCAGATATGAATGAGAGGTTCTGCATTTCAGGGCCATTGTGTGAGGAAGTGTTTCCTTACTCGTTCTTTGCTCTTGGTTTTCAAACTGATGACAGGCTCTCCTTTGGACTTGTCCATAATTACAGTCCTCTCGTTTCGACCTGTCAAACAAACACAATTGATATTGAAAATAAGAATTAAGGTTTTGGAGGGGCGACACATTTTTCAGGGTTACTTCGAAGTTACAAGCTGGAAATATTGCAGATTTCTTACCTTTGCCATCTTCTCCTTGTCCCTCAACTTGACCGTCCTTCCCCTCAGTTCTACAGAGAATATGAACAGTGTGAGCTTTGTCAATGCTCTATCAAACAACAATTACATATATTGTTCACTCTCCAATATAGTTGATTTTCACATTTGTTTTTTCACACTTCTTAATGCTGTGGTTTACGACCGGCTAAAAATG